CTTATATGCTTATTTGTGGATATTGTTGTTATACATATCTGTTGTAGAGTGTGGATATAGCTTATATGCTTATCTGTGGATATTGTTGTTATACATATCTGTTGAGAATGTGGATGTAGCTTTTATGCTTATCTGAATGTGAGATATTGTTTTTATACATATCTGTGGAAATGGTGATAGAGCTAGCATGCTTATCTGTTGAAAAGGGGAAAATGAAAAGTAATTGGGACTTGTAAGTCGTTGACATAAATATGTAATTTATGTGATTGTGTCAGTGTTGACCAACTATCAATTGCTAATGTTTTAGTCATTGTTCATGGTTGGTTTAGTGTATTTCTACTGGGCTGTGGCTCACCCTATATGGGAATATCATTTTCAGGTGCAGGAAGCATGCCACCTCCAAGGACATAGCTTGGGAGGCTAGGGCGGACATACTTTTGTCGCTTAACTTTTGATGTATTACATGTAACTTCAAGCCAAGGGCTTTATGTGTAAACGAGTTAGTACTCTTTTGTTGTAACCAAGTGTTACCTTGGAAAGCTGTAAGCCCGTAGGGCATTTTGTTTTGATGTTAACATGTAATACTTATGTAATGAAACTCAATGAAATAAAGGAATGTGGTTAGTTTATATGTAAATGCATGTCTTATCTGATGGGTTCAATGTTATTATTTTGAGGGCGTTACAAGCACTGTCTTTGGAGAAGGAACTGATATACGAAGTGCTGCTTTTGTATATCAGTCACAGCAGTATATCTTGATTCAGATCATGGTCATCAGAACTTAAAAAATGAAACAAAAACAACAACAAAAAACTTGTTTTGACTTGTATTAACCAAATGCTGCATAGACATAGAATAGTCATCCATTGTTTAATTTATGATAAAAAGTAAGATATTAGCATTAACCTCATGGTACAATAGAATATAGCTGGCATATAACTCTAAAAGGTAAACATTGACGGAAATATGATAAAAGTTAAATCCCGGCTAGCAGTAATTACTGTAGAAGCTGGAACAAAAGAGTAGAAAAGTAATAGATATCAGTGCTCACACATTTCTGGAAATTTGGTCAAATCAACAAGCCCAAACCCCTTTAAGACAGAGGTCTTGAGTACAGCACAATTAATATTTCAACAATTGTCTAGTAAAAAGCTAATAGCCTCACTACTCTACTCTAGGACCCTAACTCTTGCAAGATGCATGTATACAATTAAAATAAACAACAGATTCAAAATTTCTTAAATTAAAAGCCAACTGATATTTTCATGAAATCTGCCAAATACTAGTCCTGCTAATTGTTTGAAATAATTCCAAATCTAACAGAACACATGGGCCAAAATAAACTAACAATAAAAAGGACACACACCTGTGGCGTCGGAGATGGAGGAGCCGCATCAATGGGAGAAAGAGTCGTGGCTTTGTTAGCCAACTTGTACAAGGCTATAGAACCATCAAGTTGCTGCTTTAGGTTCGTGGAACCAAGAAGACCAAGTAGTAACTCTAATCCTGCACACAAGTGATATAAGCAATTGATTTCAATTATGTCAAATGTCAGCCTAGAAAATGACATACCATTGTTATCAATGAATATTGTTCTCTGATCCTCTGCAGAACAAAGGTTGGCAAGAGCCAAAGCAACTCGTTTTTGAACAGTCTTCTCTGCTATGCGCATCAGATATAACAAATGGCTCAAAACCTACAAGGGAGAAATTAAGGGATTTAGATTCAAGAATGTGCATAAAAAAGCACTAGAACTAAACCATAATCATATAATTTAACATCAACAAAAAAAAAAAAAAAATTGCTCACCCGTCCCTGAATCTTCTCCTCTAATCTTTTCAGTGTCTTGGCTACACAATCTTTCGTTGCCTAAAAATGCATTTATCATTAAACAACACTAGGAAACCTATAAACATACAATAATCTATGAAGCTGAAGCCATATTAGAGTGCAAGAATATGATATTATCTGCTAGTGGCATCTAAAGAAAGCCTCAACATAAAAGCCACTAATCAGAATTTAAAAAAGAAAAGAAAAACAAGCATACTTGAACAATGAATTCTCCATCCTGCAACTTCTGAACGCCACCAACCTTGATAAAATCAGCCACATTATCCTATGAGGAAAAGAATAAATTAAATTAAATTAAAAAGCTTAAAAAAGCAGTGTTGACATCAATTGAACACGGCCTAAATCAGAACTACTAGGTCACTAAGCTTAAAAAATTAAAATTAAAAACAAATGAAGTTCAACAGAATTCAATAAAATAAAACCAAAGACATCAGCCCCCCATTAAAAGTTAACTGAATTCATCAAATGAATATATACCTCATTATCTGCAAGGCCATAAAGAGCAAATGCAGCATTATGTTGCAGAGACCCATTTTTTGAATCAAGAAGCCTCAGCAATGGCACCAAACCACCATTATGAGCAATACCTGCTTGGTTGTGAGCATCCTGAACAACAGAAATTCCTTTCAAGCTAAAGATTAAAAAAAAATGCTTACCACAATGTACTCAATAAAGTTTATAATTATAGAAACTACAAATTTGAAGACAGCGTATTATAAAAGAGGAACTGACGAAAACAAGGAATTGTGGTATATGATAATAATGGGAAGGCACAGATATAAACCACACTCTGGGAACCTTAAGTAGTTTGGCCATCTTATTGTTCAATATAGGCACCTATCTGAGAACAACTTTGGCCCACTCAACATGACTAGACATCAAATTTTAAAACCATGCACCTACATAGATGCCTGCTTTTTTCCTTTTCTTGTCACCCTGCCACCGCATGGAGGTATCCATTGCATGGAACCACTCAACATCATTTGAACCAGAATATGGTGTCATTTTCATTTCACAAGAATCTACTAACCAGAAATACAAAGTTTGTTTTTGCTTTTGTTCTTTTCACAAAAAGAATTTAAAGCAATTATAACAAAAAATATTCCCCCATCTTTTTTTTTTTTTTTTTTTTTTTTTTTTTTTTGTTCAGCATTCCCTATCATTGAAAAATAACTTCCATCTCCTCAGTTATGACCTACACAACCAAAGTTTTCAAAAGAAGTTCAGAAATTCAATGGATGCATTAACTTAGACTCATCATACACACCCAACAATCATTAGTTAGCTGGAAGACAATATCTGTAGGTACAATAGCAGCAAATTTACAGGTCAACCGTATCAACTAATTGTAATTTTTTAGTAATAAGAGAAAGAAAGAAATAAGCACTAACCTGTGCCAACCTACCCAGTGCAAAGGCCGACATTTCTCTAAGCTGTACGTCTGGGGATTGAAGCATCTCAATCAAAGGCTGGACAGCTCCTCTCTGCACAATATGCACCTGCAAATAATCTTACTTTCTTAAAAACGGAAACAATAAAAAGATAAAAGGAAAACAGACAATTAAATCTTAGTTAAAAGAGCAGCACAAAATTATGAGTAAAATTTTGAGAAGGCAAAAACAATGAAGCAGATAGCAAAATACTAAGACAAGTCAACACAGGATAGCCAGGATGAAGGCAAAGAAGGAGAAAAAACGGAATCAAATGATGAACACTCCATCCACAAAAAGTTTTCAAGGCCAAAATTGTCTTTTCCTTCCCCTCATCTTTCAGGTAACCAACCATAGGATTAGCAAACAAAAGATTCATGATCAATCAACAAAAAAAAAAAAAAACAAATTATGGAGAATGAGTCCTAATCTCCACCTTGCAATCTGAATCGGTAGCGGCAAATTGTCCAAGTAATAAAGCTGCTTCCCTTTGGCTCTCAGAGCAGCAAGAACTGTTATCCAAAGCAAGAACTTGAGAAAGTATAAATGCATAGCTAATGTAAACAAAACAGCAATGAAGAAATAAACGGAGCAACAAGGAAATAGGAGCAAACTCTAATTTATTAAAGTAATTGAGAAGACACCACAAAGGTTGCAAATTTCATTAAGTGATACCTGAGCAATCCAATAACAGGTTGCAAAGCTCCAGCAACAAGAACTTCCTTCTTAATGTTTGGGGATGAGTGCACCAGATTTCCAATCACACCAACCTGAAACCCACGAAAGATCATCAGAAGCAAGAGATTATGTGAAGACCAAATAACAAGTTCCAGACTCAAATGAAGTTAAATAAGAATGTAAATGCTGTATTTCAAGAAATATCCTACTGCTTCATAATGAATAGCAGCATCCTCAGATCGGAGCATTAGAATCAGGGTATGAAGAGCATTGCATTCTACAATCTGCAAAGTCATATTTGTGGTATCAATAAGAAAATCTCGATAGCTCTATAAATGCTGTATTTCCAGAATCTCAAAATCGTAATTGTTGTTTCAATTAGAGGATTTCAGTTAATGTGAGCTGTATTTCCAGAAAGGGCATACAACCTGATTCTTATTTTCATCATTTTTAAATGCCAGAGTTCTCAACGCTCCAGCTGCAGCCCTTTGCACCTTTGGATCAATGAATTCAAGCAACTCAACGAGCGGTGGAATCCCACCTTCCAACCTGAAAATACAGTCCAGATGAACCACAAAAACAAAATGAAATAGTAGCGCTGCCTGAAGTTAAAATACTGGGAGTGTGAGTCAAAAAATATACCTAACACGGGTTTTAATACTGCTATTCTCATGAGCAAGGTTAGTAATTGCATCAGCTGCTCTTCGAATGACACTATTGACAGCCCGAGAAATGGAACCATCCTTGTGCCTCTTTAGTAAATCCACAAGATGAGGCAAGGCACCATTGTCAACTATGAGTTGCTGATGCTCTGGCTGTATGCAGAAACAACAATAACAAAGGGTCAGCAAGAACAAGCCAAGTAGGAATAAATCTAAAAGAAAAAACCTAGTATGCCATGACCAACAATTTCGGATACATGATAAGAGTCGTGTAAAGACAACACATGAAATTAAAAAATTGTTTCACCCAACAATTACTTCCAACGTCTCCAAAGCTCAGTCAGTAGTAGATGAATATGAGGGTACATGACGTCACTGGGTTTCTGTCAAATGCTGGAGTTCATAACACCGGTACACCCCAATAGACACAAAACATATGGTGCCACACATAACAAGGTTGGGAGCAACCTGCTAGCCAAGATGAAAGAGGCACCCTAAAGAAAACCTTCATATTCTCTAGGCATCAGAAAAATTGCTGACAAATTGTGTGAACTTGTCATTTTGTGTTAATAGTGACAGACTTGTAGTGTTTGATAAAGTGAAGTTTTTACTTTGACTATCCATTTCTCCTTTTTTCTATAAGAAAAAGAATATATAAGGCCAATCTCATGCAGTTATTGATGAGCCCTCACCGATTCCAATTTTTAGATTTGATCATGCACACACACATGGATGACAACAGGGTGGGTTTGGTCCGGGAATCCCTACCCCACCCACTCTTACTTTTAATTCCAATATTGAATCCCAATAATGTGGCTTTTTAGACCAGCGTGACTTATGACTTGTAAGGATCAAAGTACACAAACTTGAATGTTGATCAATGTTGGTTTGTAATAGGATTGCAAAGTAGAGGTATACAGATAACATAAAATAGGAGAATAACCATACAGATCATTTTGTATGATCAGCCACTGATGAAAATATATACATATACATAATAAGGGGCATTTTTTGTAAGAGTACATATATTTGAGTCAGGATTAGACTTACCAACCCCTCCCCTTGTCTCGAAACTGATTGGGCTCTCCATTTCCACCTCCTAAACCCACCCTATCCTATTAAAAAAACCTCAAACTTGTCCCGTTAGGATTGGGGACGTACCAGGTCAAGGGTTTTTTGTCACACCTATGCACGCAAATCAAGACATACAAGCCACCATCTAGTTAAGCACTGTATGATGACCTACAGTCAAATTTGACATAAAAGTTCCCAGATCATATCCCGTCATCTATAGATCAATGATGCCTTTCCTTTGACCCAATTAGTTCCTATATGATCTAGGCATTCGATTGGTGCACATTGGCCCATATCTAGGTGTTTTCTTTTGATTTATAACCATGGGACAGTCTTAACAAAACAACACTGACACGGTGAGTGCAAAATATTCCTTTGCCTAGATTGACCAATCAAAATACAAGCTCATGAGAAGCACCATAAGGTTAATCTCAAGGTAAACTTATTCTTACTATATGCATCACATAAAGAATGTGAATCCATATGTGAGGGCTTTTAATAGATTGTAGATAGTAGTAACAAATTTAGAATCATAATGAAGGACAAAATGTGGCAGGTATCATGACTGATTCCTTTTTTGAGTGAAAAGATAAATAAAATGAGCCGTTTTAGAATTGATATCACAGCAAATGGAGCAGGTTGAAATATGCAGATAAAGCACACCAGCAACCATGCATTCTTCCAATTCAATAGCAAATTTGATGGACTTGATTTTCGAGAATTTAAAAGAAGCTTTTGAAACATTGTGCAATGTGTGAACAAACCTAACCAGGGAAGCAATTAGAAACGTTAGTTGGGATTCCTAGATGATTCTTCTCCTTGGAACAATAAATTCAAAATTTCTATACTTGGGTCGCTATTTAGAACCCCTTAACATCTTTCACCCTGAATATATTTTATAGTATGTAACTGCATAATTTCATTAATTTGCAACAAATGAACAAAAAATTAAAACATATAATGTAATTGAATGACCTTTACAGCTAGAAGCCCTAGAGCAAAAGCACTGCCTTTCTCGACCTCGTGTTCGAATGGCTTCGGACTAAGGTCACCTTCGCTCAATGGCGGCGCCTGAAGATGCTTCACCAGCGCCGGTACAGCACCACCATCAACTATAACATTCACAACTTCCTCTGCCAATTCACAAAAACAAAACACACATGCATATATACATAATTGATTGTATACATGGAGAGAGAGAGAGAGAGAGAGTAGATCGGAGTGGTTGGAGTTACCGTTCTTGGCGAGCTCGGCGAGGACATGAGTGGCGCGCTTAGCGGCGGCGCGATCGGCTTCCTTCCAAGAGAAGGTGGTGCTGAGGATGCTAACCTGCGCGCCGACCTCGCAGAGCAGCGCCTGGTGGTTGTCACCGTCGTCGGCGGCGGCGGCGGCGGAAGGTAGAGAGAGATCTCTATCGTCGTCCAAATCTTCCTCCAGTTTACGCTTTTGCCCCTTCCTCTCAGTCAAATTTTCCTTCTTTTGACGCTTCGGAAACTCCATGGAAGGGAAAGGGAACATAGAGCCCCTTTTGCTAAGAGATGATGGAGGATTGGGTTTTGAATAGACGCCAGATCCAGGGGCATGTTGGGAAAATGAAAATGTTTTATCTCTCCTCTTTCTCTCTTTTAACTGCTCGCTTTTTCGGGTGATCACCGTGTCGGGTTTTAGACCGGCCGCATGATTTTCGGGTTCTGGAATTGTGTACTTGTAAGTTGCGGGGTTAAATTTTAATAATGCTTGAGATAATTAAAAGTGGTGTTTTAAAAATATCATTAATGATGTTACAGTGAACGGCATCTATTGCTTGTGTCTTTTTTTTTTTTTTTTTTTTTTTTTTAGTGTTTGTCAATTCATTACTATTTTTAATAGGATATATCATTGCCAGTTAAATTTAGGTGGTGTTTGGATGTTAGAATCATTATTGTTTTAATAATGCTTGAGATAATTAAAAGTGGTGTTTTAAAAATGGGTTTGGTTATGGTGTGCAACTTATACCTTACACCTTATACCTTACACTTACACCTTTTGTAAAAAATTAAACCTTACGCTTACACCTTTTTTGAGGTTGCACACCATATGCAACCCACTTACACCTTACACCTTACACTTACATCTTACACTTACACCTTATACTTATACTTACACCTTACACTTACACTTTTTGTGTAAGTGGCACATGGTGTGCACTTGCATACTTAAGAAAACTCCTTTAAAAATATCATTAATGATGTTACAGTGAACGGCATCTATTGCTTGTGTCTTATTTTTTTTTTGTTTTTTTGTTAAAGTGTTTGTCAATTCATTACTATTTTTAATAGGATATATCATTGCCAGTTAAATTTAGGTGGTGTTTGGATGTTAAATTAGTGTAGAAATTTGTAGAGAAATTTTTTTATATAGAAAAATTACTATAAAGTATGAACTTTTTTATATATATAATTTTTCCAGTTCATTTTTCCTTTAAGTCCATTTTAAGATCTAAATATGATGTTAAAAAATAAAATATATAACTATTAACTACAAATAATTACCAATAAAAAAATTACAAGTGTTTACAATTTAAAAACTTATGGCTTGATTTATTAGTGAATTTTTTTAATTTTTTACTTGTTGGGGGTAAATATTCATTTTTATTATTGGAAATGTTCAGGCGGGTTTGAAATTTTTTATCTAATATTTATTTTTTAACTTTGTTATTTCATTTTAGACTAGAAAGATTTGAAAATAATAATAATCACTGTGTTTAGTTTGAGTTTTCTGAATTAAGTTTATTAAAAATTGACTTTTTTAATTTTTGTATTTTTTTGTTTTTAGTGAATATTTTTTAAATTTTAAACATTTTTTTTTACTTTTTTAAGATGCACCTTACTTAAATGTATCTAAAAAGTAAAAAATTTGTGAAAAAATATTTTAAAAAATTAATAAATAAATAAAAATATATAAAATGTATTGAATTCTTGTATTTTTTTTGTATTTTTGGTATTTAGTGAATTTTTAAAAGATTTTTTTTACAATTTTTTTACTTTTTAGGTGTATTTATGTTAGGTGTATCTAAAAAGTAAAAAAATTGCTTAAAATATTAAAAAAATTCAGTAAAAACAAAAAAATACGGAAAATAAGAAAGTAAAATCTTCTGAAAAGTGTTTTAGAAAACTAGAAACCAAGCAAGGTGAATAATATATTTTTTTTAAAAAATCATTATATACACAAAAAAAAAAATTTGAAAAAAGGTGAATTTTTTTAATATTTTCCAAACATGGTGGATGTTGTTAAAAATTTGAATTTTTTTTTTTTTTGCCTAAATAAGTTGAAACGAATTATGCAAAAAAATAATAATTTTTAAGTAGAAACTAATAAGATAATAACTTTTTAAAAAAATATTAAATACTCACTCAACTTTTTCCAATAATAAAAAACAAAATTAATTTTTATTGAATATATTAATTATTTTAACGATAATTTTATTTATAAAAAAAAAGTAAATATAGTTATTAAAAAATAATTGCCAAACTAATCCTTAGTGTAATATAAATCTTCATTAATTATTTTAACGATAATTTTATTTATAAAAAAAAGTAAATATATGTTATTAAAAAATAATTGCCAAACTAATCCTTAGTGTAATATAAATCTTTAATTTTAATTTTTTCTTATAACAAATACAGAACATTACATTCACTTAATTTATTTATGTTTATTTTGAGAAATTGGTTAAAAGTTAACCTTTTAGTCTTTTTTTTTTTTACTTTTCTTTAAAAAATATGTAAAAAAGTAGATATATGATATAACTCAAGATAGATTAAAAGTCAAAAAAATAACTTTTTATCCACTTATCAAAACAAACTTTAATTTAAATTTATCCGAATGATTCTCTTTAAAAAAAGGAGAATCACACACAGAAATCTCTTCTTAAAAATAAACTCATTCAAACACATTCAAACTAAATAAATTTGATAAATGAATCACTAATTACATTAAAAATGGACCCAAAAAATAAATAAATATACAAATGCTCTTATTAGCTAACATGTGCTTGGTGTGAGTGTGAGGGTGAGAGTGGGACCCATATGGAAACAGGGGGCCACACTTTTCCCAAAGTGATGGGGTCCACCTTAAATTGCACGTTTGATGATTGGATGGCTGTCGGACCAAATGTTGGTCTACCCGTTGACAATCATCGTGCTTACAACTAATGGGCCGGGGACGGGATGAGACTGACACGTGGCACCAAGGAGTGAAATTTTCCTAAAGTATCCTAAAGTATTACATTGTGTGGTTGAGATTTACTGGCAAGTCACATCAGAAAAATTGATGTGATTTGCCAGTAAATCTCAACCACACAATGTATCACTCCAGGAAATTTTAAAAAAAAATCACTCTAAAGAATCCTTACTCGACACGTGGGCTTGATAACGGGTCAAAACAACCCGGTTTAAGTTGAGCCCATATTCGATTATAATAGAACTGATGTGCTGGAAGCCCAACACCACCCACCGCCCATATATGAAGGGGCCTCAAAACTAGGGGCGTAATTTGGGCGGATTCGGTCGGGTTAGGAGGTTGTTTAAGTCTAATTTAAGTTGCGCTAAGATTTGTCCAGGGCCATCTAAGCCCGAATTGTAACCCGAGGTTACCTGTCCAAGTTCGACCCGAGTTAAACCCAAATTGTCAGAGTTGTCCGTTTTTTTTTTTGTAACTACATTATTAAATTATTAAATTTTGACTCTATTTACATTTTTTTATATATAGAAAATCATTAATACCATTAAAATAAATAATTTATATAATGTAAGAGAGATACTACTATAGTAGTTTTTATAATTTATGAGTGAAAGCAAAATAAAAAAAGTAAGATTTTATTTTATTTGTATATATAATATATATTTAATATAATTTAATAATTTAAATTACTTTAATATCATGTAATAGAAAATAATTTATATATATTTAATATTTTTGTATATCTATATATATATAACTCGGGTTTCGAGTTGCTCGGGTTGTTTGATGTCTTTACCCAAGCCCGTTCAAATTTAATTCGGTCTTTCAAATTTTTGCCCAAGCTCGTACCGAATTTGAAAATATCTTGTTCAAACCCTAAAAAAATTCGAACTGGATTCGGATTGCTCGGGTTGAACCCATCCAAGTTGCACCCCTACTCAAAAGCCTGTCCTCCCTCTCCATACTGGCAGCCTTCTTCCCCCATCTTGACTTATCTATGGGAAATGTTGACAGTTTTTTTAAAATTTTTTTTATAAAGTATACAGAATTCAATCATATGGTTGAATATAATTATTTTAAGGGGTTGTTTGGGGTGTCCTAAATAAGTGCACTTTTTGTCTTTTTAGACTAAAAAGTTGAGGAAAAAAATGTGGATGTTTGGATTAACTTTTTGACTTTTTATAGAAAAATGTATATTAAAAAATTGTATAAAAAAATGTGTAGAAGAAGATTGGAGGTGTGTATGATAGTGTACAATCTGATGGTAATAAATTATTGGCTACTTTTTGGGCATTGCAACGGACGGTTTTGTTCGGCCCGTGGGGGCCATCACGGGTCCCATTTTGATAATCTGAACCGTTCAATATGTAGAACTCGTTGAGTACTATATGTTTATAAAAAATCACGTTGTTCGGATATCGATAGCTATCTAATCATATTTGTTTTTTTCCAATCGTCAATTATAACACCATCTATTTTTTTATACAAAACTAATTTGATCATGTAGTTATCGATATCCAATCAATGTGATTTTTTATAAATATATAATACTCGACGAGTTCTACACATTGAACGGTTCAGATTATCAAAATGGGACCCGTTATGAGCCCCCACGGGCTGAATAGCAATGTGTGAACATTACACCCAAACTGTGCAATTTTTTGGACAAACACTGCACAGCGCTAGCTTTTCATGAGTGCTAAGTTGTATAGATGTGTGGAAAAGTAATTTTTATTTATTTATTTATTTATTTTGTAAATAGTGATAACTTTTTAACTTTTTAAGTAATTTTTTGACTTTTTAAATTTTTAGGGAGATGCCAAAAAAAAACTAAAAAACCACTAATCATGTAATCAAATCCAATATTTGCAATTTTTTCATGACCGAATTTTATGTATTTAGAATTTATTGAAATTCTAAGTATTGCTTATTAAGAGTCTGTTTGATAACTATTTCGTTTTCAGTTTTCAGTTTATATTTATAAAAATTTAAAAAACTATCATGAAAACTTGTTTGATAATTTTTTTTAGTTTATAAATGATTGTCTTAGTTTATAAATTTGATTTTAAACAGGAAATTTAAAATTTTGACTAATAAATATTTTTTTTCAATTAATTTTCTTTTCAATTATTTTTTTTTAAATTAATTTTTTTTTCAGTTATAATGTGTATGATCTCATTGTCATAAATAATAAAAAATAAATATAAATATTTTAAACTTGAATAAATATATTTTTTAGTTTATATTTTTAAAAATTTTCAAACATTTTGTTCATATCAAACGCCTTTGTAGTTTATGTTTTTCTAAAAACAAACTAAAATCAGTTTATAAAATTTTTATAAATATAAATAAAAAATGTAAAAG